TGTGGCCAAACATGTTCTCGTTAAAGCTGAATAGGTTTGTAAACTCTTATACCTAAATCTCTCATGTGTATTGTAAAGTCTTCATAGCTTATTAATAACTAATGTCCTTTAACCTAAGGAAGTTAGCATGAGAATATAAAGTAAATATAGTATAAAGTATTATAAATATAAAGTAAAGTAATATAAAGTCACTAACTGATCAATTTGTCCGGTGAGTTGTGCTAGTCAGGCATGAAAATAAGTACAAAATTGTGAAAATAAATGGAAATTGTGTGCAGATAATCTGCAGGTAATCTACGTTCTACAGCGCACACATGTGACTGTAACCTCCCGACCGTCAACCACAAGATAGGTGGGATGAATGACAGGTGTGTGAAAATACATTTAAAGACCAATTTCACCAAAAATGTAGCTGGTTAAAATTCACTGCAGTTCAGTTCCTGAATCCAGTATGTGACAATTTTCTGCCACCTCCCACAGGATGGGTATGAGATCCATAATAAACTAATGATACGCCATCCGTCAACAGAGAAAGTGTCATATTCAAATTGTCGTACTAGAAAATTGAAGCGGCTCGCGAAAGTGACGCACTGTCCCATTTTCTGTTTTGGGTCCTCTGGTAGGTCAGGAGAGGACACTTTAATTTGACCGTTTTCTTGACGTTGGGACACGACCAGACGGCACCGCTCCAGTGCCAGTGTTAGTTCACTACGAGTTCACCATAGCCCGTGCTGCTTGCCCCGCTCCTGTGCCAGGTAAGTTACGGGCTCACCATAGCCCGTGCTACTTGGAACTTGTTCCGAGCAGCTGAATCTATAACAACAACAACATGACGTTAGGAGAACAAAGGAGGAGGGACTGGTTGATGCCCACAAAGCGGCCACGCAGGCATCGCGGCACTGAAAGTGATTCCAATCATAATATTATATGAAGAGAGTAAACATTGTTGCCTTTGCTTCATCGCCCTCTTGTTATCGCAGAGGCCAGCTGGACCCCTCTACTTGTGGTCGCTAAGGTACTTCAGCTATATAAAAGGCTAGTTTTTAAAGCTTTGACAGTGATGTCTTGCGTGCGTGCCTGGTGCTTGGGGCCCAGGAGTGGTCAGGGGCCCACGGGTGGCCCGCGGGTGGCCCAGTGGTGGCATAGGGGCATTACAGTGTCATATTTTGGATGGTAAATGTTGGTTAACCAAAAAAAGGGAACTATCAGGAGAAAGTGTCAAAGCATTACGACTATATAGCGCTTGGAAGGGGGTCAGGATAAGGATTTGGGATGGGACGGGAGGAAGGAATGGTGGCCAATCACTTGGGTAGTCGGGGATTGAACACCAACCTGCATGATTTTCTAGGTTGGTTGTTTGATACTGTGTGGTGGTGGAAGTTGGGGAATGGGGTATTGAAAGGGTAGAATCGTGAAGGGAAAATTTAGTCTGTAGAATGGGGTAATACGAATTCTTTTTTTTTTGTAGGGGGGGAGGATGCATTGTGGAGGATTCGAGGGAAAGCCAACCAGAAAGTGGCAACCATAACACAAGGCGCTCAGTCAATATCTGCCTCGTGTTAGTTGTGCTATTCCTAGGCTGACTGTAAGTTAACTGACCATATGAAGGTTCTGCCACATTGTTTCCTCCAGTTTCATCTTGTACCAAACACGATTGCAATTTAAAATTACAGTTTATTCTTCATGAGAGAGAGAGAGAGAGAGAGAGAGAGAGAGAGAGAGAGAGAGAGAGAGAGAGAGAGAGAGAGAGAGAGAGAGAGAGAGAGAGAGAGAGAGAGAGAGAGAGAGAGAGAGAGAGAGAGAGACTTAAGAACATAGGAATAAAGGTAATTGCAGAAGGCCTATTGGCCCATACGAGGCAGCTCCTATTTATAACCATCCAATCCCACTCATATACATGTCCAGCCCACGTTTGAAACACTGGAGGGACCCCACCTCCACCACGGTAGACAGAAGACAAACTTCTGCTAATAGTTCAAAACCGTTCACGGAAGCCTTGAATGGGGTAGTCCTCTCCCTCCCAACCTACCCCTTGACACTCACATGTTGTGTGTAGAGGATCCTGATCCCCTTGAGTGTTATGATGTATACTGAACCTCTTGTAGTGGGGGGATAAATTCCTGTTGAAGAGCATTAACTTCAAGAGGACGACACACAGCTCTGAGGGCATTGTTTAACAGCCCCGGTTCTCCGCCTGGGGGTGTCGGCTGTCGCGTAAACAAGGAAGTGTTGACTGGTTGTCTGATTAGTTGACTCAGGGACGTATTATCACCCACCGTCACCTCGTCTGGGTCGTTATAGCCAGGGTGAGCTTATAACCGAGGGTACGACAAAGTGGTTTTTGTGAACACAACAACACAAGTTGGTTATATTGATCTCCTAATTCCGGTTAGTGTACAACCCGCCAGCTTACATCATACATTTATTTTCAACATTAAATATAGAACAACACAATACGCAGATTGTGCCCCACACTCTGTACCTTTTCATTTTATTTTGTTCTACTATTGCTAGGAATGTTAGAGTAAATTTGTATTTTTGTACTTATTTAGTTGAATTTGCATGACTGGGCTTTAGCTCTTGGATCCTGTTTTTTTAATCTGTGATCCTGTGTTTTTAATCGAGTTGTGAAATAGAGGTTCCCTAAGTTGTGTGAAATCTTCATAAGTACATAAGAGTTAAGGAAAGTAAAGAAGGTCTCTTGGCCCCTTACGAGGCAGTTCTTTTCAGATATTTGGGAAACTGCAGGGGGGGGGGGGGGGGTTGGCCAAAATATGACCCAATCGCCGTTTTCAGTAATTGGCATATTTTCGGTATGAAAAGTCGTAATTTGAAACTGAAAATAGGTGCAGAGAGCCAGGTCTACGTTTTACTTCTCGCTCTCTTTCATTCCAGTTTTTTCTATGATATTAAAGAATTTTTTCTAATATATCTGCAGCTCATTCAGAAATAAAGCTATACTGTTATCTAGAGGTTCTCTGCTCCGACTTGTGCTTCACCTCCTGTGTAGTAGACTGGCGTTACCATCTTGAGGTTATCTTGAGATGATTTCGGGGCTTTTTAGTGTCCCCGCGGCCCGGTCCTCGACCAGGCCTCCACCCCCAGAAAGCAGCCCGTGACAGCTGACTAACACCTAGGTACCTATTTTACTGCTAGGTAACAGGGGCATAGGGTGAAAGAAACTCTGCCCATTGTTTCTCGCCGGCGCCTGGGATCGAACCCAGGACCACGGGATCACAAGCCCAGAGTGCTGTCTGCTCGGCCGACCGGCTCCCCGTAACCGTGGTTTTCGATGTAGATGAACGCAGACCCGCATGGAAATACCATTGAAGTCGCTGGGCAAATACTTCTCCCTGAGCTATTCACAAGACCCTTCAAATCCATCACACTTTCCAGTTTAGCCCAGCAGAACAAATGCCGATATCGCGTGAGCGCCCAGCCAGCTGAGTGTGCCCGATACGCCCAGCCAGCTGAGTGTGCCCGATACGCCCAGCCAGCTGAGTGTGCCCGATACGCCCAGCCAGCTGAGTGTGCCCGATACGCCCAGCCAGCTGAGTGTGCCCGATACGTCGCTGTCGACCGATATCGCGTGAGCGCCCAGCCAGCTGAGTGTGCCCGATACGTCGCTGTCGACGACATGTCATCAAGCCACCTTGTCATTAGTGTTCTATTAATATTCCCTGAGAACACATTCTTTACAGATTGTATCAATGACATTTATCATGAAAACGGAGCAGCAATCATGCGGTAAACGAGTATACAATTGAACGAGCGGTCATTGCTAGTTTACTGCTCCCATTAATAAATGGAGTTTACACAGCAAAGCCGTCAGGCCGCCTCTTGCTTGCTGTGTCAACCTCTCACAGCTAATACTGCATTATGGGTGTTTCTGCTGGACGTGACGCCAGGTACACAACACTCTGTGTAACGTTTACAGTGTAAAGTAGCATCCTTATTCACACTTATTGACTTAATGAAGTGTGTTTCTTTAACCAAAGATACTGAGGGGTGATAGAAAAGCTAACATATATATACATAATATCTCCTAGCTCTTGGTATAGTATATACTATACTATACTTATATTTCTTCTCCGAGGCTATGTGTCACTACACTCGCACCAGAGGTGGTACCCCCCAAAAAATAATATTATATATATATATATATATATATATATATATATATATATATATATATATATATATATATATATATATATATATATATATATATATATATATATATATATAAAACTGTGTAAGGTAATGATCAAAACACCATGTAAACGTCTGTATGGGTGTGGTGTTTAATAAGGCCAGTAAATCTCACGCCTCAAGCAAGGACGGGGGTCGAGCCCCGCCCGTCCCCACCACCAACGTCGTCATCGAGACAGGAGACAGGTCCCAACGGGTCCTGTGGATCCTTCACCTCACCTGTCACTTCAATACATCCGTCATCCGCGTGACACGTGACCTTTCCTGGGAACTGAATTCGAAAGGCGTGCTTCTCCTGCCCTGGCTAATTACCACTTGACGAATCACGGCCCAGGCCTCGAGGCCCGGCTCCTGGCTGGTCGGATCCCGCGATTATTTCAGCCGCTCTGCCTCCGTGAACGCTCCAATTCTGGTATTTTTAGAGTGACTTATTTCCTCTGTCCGACCAACGCAACAGAACCGCGTCTGTGTTGGCCTCGCTTGCTCCTGCTGCCTCCTGACGTTGTTTTACAATCTTTGTTGCACCTATTTATACTTTAAATTTTAATCCAGCATATTAATAATATGCTGACTACTCAATGCTATTGTCACTTCCGAAATGGTAGTACTCAACATAACATCAAAAGTTTAATCAATGCAATACAATATTAGAATATATAGACAGGGTAAAGGAAGTATGTAAGGTGAAACAAAATGATGTTTTTGTATTACTGGCTAATGAATATAAGATCAAAATCAAACTACAGACTGTGCCTCACACTCTCCAGGTGCCTCCTGCTGTGCCTCACATGCTCCAGGTGCCTCCTGCTGTGCCTCACATGCTCCAGGTGCCTCCTGCTGTGCCTCACATGCTCCAGGTGCCTCCTGCTGTGCCTCACATGCTCCTGGTGTCTCCTGCTGTGCCTCACATGCTCCTGGTGTCTCCTGCTGTGCCTCACAGGCTCCAGGTGCCTCCTGCTGTGCCTCACATGCTCCTGATGTCTCCTGCTGTGCCTCACATGTTCTTGGTGCCTCCTGCTGTGCCTCACAAGCTCCAGGTGCCTCCTGCTGTGCCTCACAAGCTCCAGGTGCCTCCTGCTGTGCCTCACATGCTTCTGGTGCCTCCTGCTGTGCCTCACATGCTCCTGGTGCCTCCTGCTGTGCCTCACATGCTCCTAGTGTCTCCTGCTGTGCCTCACATGCTCCTGGTGCCTCCTGCTGTGCCTCACATGCTCCTGGCGTCTCCTGCTGTGCCTCACATGCTCCCGGTGCCTCCTGCTGTGCCTCACAGGCTCCAGGTGCCTCCTGCTGTGCCTCACAGGCTCCTGGTGCCTCACTGCTGTGCCTCACATGCTCCTAGTGTCTCCTGCTGTGCCTCACATGCTCCTGGTGCTCCTGCTGTGCCTCACATGCTCCTGGCGTCTCCTGCTGTGCCTCACATGCTCCCGGTGCCTCCTGCTGTGCCTCACAGGCTCCAGGTGCCTCCTGCTGTGCCTCACAGGCTCCTGGTGCCTCCTGCTGTGCCTCACATGCTCCTAGTGTCTCCTGCTGTGCCTCACATACTCCTGGTGCCTCCTGCTGTGCCTCACATGCTCCTGGCGTCTCCTGCTGTGCCTCACATACTCCTGGTGCCTATTGCTGTGCCTCACATACTCCTGGGGCCTCCTGCTGTGCCTCACATACTCCTGGCGTCTCCTGCTGTGCCTCACATGCTCCTGGAGTCTCCTGCTGCGCCTCCTTGCTGACTAGTGCTGACCTTCACTGCAGCATCAACCACTATAAAGTATATTTAGATCTTCACTGTCATCATTCGTGGATAAGCAAGAAGCACAGGAACGCTAATCAGAAGCAGTTGCTTTCGTGTTGCATAGCTCAACTACGTCCAGTCGATACGTTGTGCAGCGAAGACAAACGAAACGTACTGAGTTGTTCCGATGTAGTTCACCTCGCTCGTGTCGTAAACAAGTACTTGTCTTTTGTTAGCTCAAGCTTGTTGATGACAGTGATAAAAAACAATGTTTGTTGATTACCGTTGATGGAAAAATGAAAGTTGAGATGGCGTAAATCAGTTGAGTTGTGATCGAAAATTTTATTAATGTTCACTCTACAGATTGAGAGGCATCCGTTGATTGACTATTGAGGTTTTTCGTGTGTGTACTCACCTGTGTGTGTGTGTGTGTGCGGGGGTTGAGCTCTGGCTCTTTGCACTCAATTTCCACCTGTGTCCCCTTGTGCGTGTTCCCCTGTGTTAAATAGACTGTCTTTATCTACCCTATCAATCCCCTTCAGAATCTTGAATGTGGTGATCATGTCCCCCCTAACTCTTCTGTCTTCCAGCGAAGTGAGGTTTAATTCCCGTAGTCTCTCCTCGTAGCTCATACCTCTCAGCTCGGGTACTAGTCTGGTGGCAAACCTTTGAACCTTTTCCAGTTTAGTCTTATCCTTGACTAGATATGGACTCCATGCTGGGGCTGCATACTCCAGGATTGGCCTGACATATGTGGTATACAAAGTTCTGAATGATTCTTTACACAAGTTTCTGAATGCCGTTCGTATGTTGGCCAGCCTGGCATATGCCGCTGATGTTATCCGCTTGATATGTGCTGCAGGAGACAGGTCTGGCGTGATATCAACCCCCAAGTCTTTTTCCTTCTCTGACTCCTGAAGAATTTCCTCTCCCAGATGATACCTTGTATCTGGCCTCCTGCTCCCTACACCTATCTTCATTACATTACATTTGGTTGGGTTAAACTCTAACAACCATTTGTTCGACCATTCCTTCAGCTTGTCTAGGTCTTCTTGAAGCCTCAAACAGTCCTCTTCTGTTTTAATCCTTCTCATAATTTTAGCATCGTCCGCAAACATTGAGAGAAATGAATCGATACCCTCCGGGAGATCATTTACATATATCAGAAACAAGATAGGACCGAGTACAGAGCCCTGTGGGACTCCACTAGTGACTTCACGCCAATCGGAGGTCTCACCTCTCACCGTAACTCTCTGCTTCCTATTGCTTAGATACTCCCTTATCCACTGGAGCACCTTACCAGCTACACCTGCCTGTCTCTCCAGCTTATGTACCAGCCTCTTATGCGGTACTGTGTCAAAGGCTTTCCGACAATCCAAGAAAATGCAGTCCGCCCAGCCCTCTCTTTCTTGCTTAATCTGTGTCACCTGATCGTAGAATTCTATCAAGCCTGTAAGGCAAGATTTACCCTCCCTGAATCCATGTTGGCGATTTGTCACGAAGTCCCTTCTCTCCAGATGTGTTACCAGGTTTTTTCTCACGATCTTCTCCATCACCTTGCATGGTATACAAGTCAAGGACACTGGCCTGTAGTTCAGTGCCTCTTGTCTGTCGCCCTTTTTGTATATTGGGACCACATTCGCCGTCTTCCATATTTCTGGTAGGTCTCCCGTCTCTAGTGACTTACTATACACTATGGAGAGTGGCAGGCAAAGTGCCTCTGCACACTCTTTCAGTACCCATGGTGAGATCCCATCTGGACCAACAGCCTTTCTAACATCCAGATCCAGCAGGTGTCTCTTGACCTCCTCTCTCGTAATTTCGAACTCCTACAAGGCCGCCTGGTTTACCTCCCTTTCTCCTAGCACAGTGACCTCACCCTGTTCTATTGTGAAGACCTCCTGGAACCTCTTGTTAAGTTCCTCACACACCTCTCTGTCATTCTCTGTATACCTGTCCTCGCCTGTTCTAAGTTTCAATACCTGTTCTTTCACTGTTGTTTTCCTTCTGATGTGACTGTGGAGTAGCTTTGGTTCGGTCTTGGCTTTGTTTGCTATATCATTTTCAAAATTTTTCTCTGCTTCTCTTCTCACCCTGACGTACTCATTCCTGGTTCTCTGGTATCTCTCTCTGCTTTCTGGTGTTCTGTTATTCCGGAAGTTCCTCCACGCCTTTTTGTTCAGTTTCTTCGCTTCCATACATGCCCTATTATACCATGGATTCTTCTGTTGCTTCTCGGATTTTTCCCTTTGGGCCGGGATGAACCTGTTTACTGCCTCCTGACACTTTTGGGTAACATAGTCCATCATACCCTGTACAGACTTATCTCTGAGGTCTGTGTCCCAAGGTATTTCACTTAGGAAACTTCTCATCTGTTCATAATTCCCCTTTCGGTATGCCAGCCTTTTGATTCCTAGTTCTTTTTTGGGGGAGATAAGTCCTAGCTCTACCAGGTACTCAAAGTTCAATACAGGAATGTGTGTGTGTGTGTGTGTGTGTGTGTGTGTGTGTGTGTGTGTGTGTGTGTGTGTGTGTGTGTGTGTGTGTGTGTGTGTGTGTGTGTGTGTGTGTGTGTGTGTGTGTGTGTGTGTGTGTGTGTGTGTGTGTGTGTGTATTCACAGGCTAATGAATGTGTCCAGCCAGAACCAGAATCAATTAAAATTCCGTTTGTGGGATAAATAACCACTGCATAAATCTTTCCAAATTAGTAAATCTTTGTTTACAGCAACGGAGAAGATTAGCGTGCGCGCTCACATTGTAATTATCTTCCTGTGTAGGATTCGGCGCTGATTCCGCTAAAAACAATAACACTATGACAGGTAAACTGTGCTTTGATCATGAGTGTAATAACCTTAAGCATTTGTCTTGCATATACTCGAATATTATATATAAAACACTCAGGTGAGGAGGAACAAGAGGAATTGGAGAAAGTAAAGAGAAGAGATATTAAGGAAAGCAAGAAAGAGCACTGGACTCTAATTAACAGCTACACATGCTTGAGATCAGTCCACGCTAAAGCAATGTAACCATCTGGAATATATTAATAACAAATAACCATGAGATTTAGGATGGAACAACGCGAGAAATAGTTTACGAAGACAACATTTGATAAGCGATGAGTTTAACACAATTCCAGGAAATGTTTAAGGCAGTAGTGGAGGAAGCCATGAGAGGGAGAGAGAGGAATATAGATGAACTCCCTAGTGCTGATGGGAAACGAATTGCGAAATCAAGAGAAAGAACGGAATGGATGTTGGATACCCCCTTCCACCTGGGGAGTCTCTGGAAAAGGTGTCGCCAGTTTGACCACTGGGTCTCAATACTGCCGTCAGCCATTCCTCTTCCACAGCTCAGCTTTATACGACAATCTGTCCTCTTACAAAGAACGTCGCTTTTCGATCGTATGCGTTACATAAGGCCAAAAATTATCGTACTAGAAAATGAAAGCGGTTCGCGAAAGTGACATACTGTCCCATTTTCTGTTTTGGGTCCTCTGGTAGGTCAGGAGAGGACACTTTAAATTGACCGTTTTCTTGACGTTGGGAAACCTTAGGAGGACGACCTGGGTACGACGCGCCTGTCGCATGGACTCACAAGGAATTTAATAGATTTGTATAGTTTTTCGATTAGATCTTTGGAGCAGGAGATCGTGACAACGAGAAAACAATTCAGTGAGAAATTTACGAAGTAAAACATCAATATTTTTGTTGAGGAAGAACAGAACGAGAGAACACAGATTAAACAAGACACACATCAGTCACAGTGATATCAGATGGAACTTCTTCAGTGTAAATGTTGCAAATAACTGTAATGGGTTAAAGATGTAGTTAACACGATTTAAATGTAAATAATGTAACAAAAACATTTATTGCTGGCATTTTACCCTCTTGAGTACAGCCGGGTGAATGGACACGTGAGTGAGTGAACACATGTGAGTGAGTGGACACATGTGAGTGAGTAGACATACGTGAGTGAGTGAACACACGAGAGTGAGTGAACACATGTGAGTGAACACATGTGAGTGAGTGGACACATGTGAGTGAGTGAACACACGTGAGTGAGTGGACACATGTGAGTGAGTGAACACATGTGAGTGAGTGAACACACGTGAGTGAGTGGACACATGTGAGTGAGTGGACACATGTGAGTGAGTGAACACACGTGAGTGAGTGGACACATGTGAGTGAGTGAACACATGTGAGTGAGTGAACACACGTGAGTGAGTGGACACATGTGAGTGAGTGGACACATGTGAGTGAGTGGACACATGTGAGTGAGTGAACACATGTGAGTGAGTGGACACATGTGAGTGAGTGAACACATGTGAGTGAGTGGACACATGTGAGTGAGTGGACACATGTGAGTGAGTGGACACATGTGAGTGAGTGAACACACGTGAGTGAGTGAACACATGTGAGTGAGTGGACACATGTGAGTGAGTGGACACATGTGAGTGAGTGGACACATGTGAGTGAGTGGACACATGTGAGTGAGTGAACACATGTGAGTGAGTGAACACATGTGAGTGAGTGAACACATGTGAGTGAGTGGACACATTTGAGTGAGTGGACACATGTGAGTGAGTGGACACATGTGAGTGAGTGGACACAGTGAGTGAACACATGTGAGTGGGTGAACACATGTGAGTGAGTGGACACATTTGAGTGAGTGGACACATGTGAGTGAGTGGACACATGTGAGTGAGTGGACACATGTGAGTGAGTGGACACATGTGAGTGAGTGGACACATGTGAGTGAGTGGACACATGTGAGTGAGTGGACACACGTGAGTGAGTGGACACATGTGAGTGAGTGGACACATGTGAGTGAGTGGACACACATGTGAGTGAGTGGACACATGTGAGTGAGTGAGTGACACACATGTGAGTGAGTGGACACATGTGAGTGAGTGGACACATGTGAGTGAGTGGAACACACATGTGAGTGAGTGGAACACATGTGAGTGAGTGGACACATGTGAGTGAGTGGACACATGTGAGTGAGTGTACACATGTGAGTGAGTGGACACATGTGAGTGAGTGGACACATGTGAGTGAGTGGACACATGTGAGTGAGTGAACACATGTGAGTGAGTGAACACATTTGAGTGGACACATGTGAGTGAGTGGACACATGTGAGTGAGTGGACACATGTGAGTGAGTGGAAACATGTGAGTGAGTGAACACATGTGAGTGAGTGAACACACGTGAGCGGGCTTCTGAGTGCCTGAGTGTCCCTCGTGAACAGTGTCAAGTCTATCAACTTAACAGAGGGAAGTCCAGCGCCGTTGGATCATGGATGTGTTACAAAAAAAAAAAAAAAGATGTGGAATTCCAGAACCTCACTCCAGGTTACCCCTTATGTTCCGAACACCTTCCATCTTTCCCATATTCATCTTCAGTAAGCCCTCTCTCTTCTATTGCCTTTCTAACCCTCTTTCCCAGTCTAAATCCTCTCCTCTCTATCCTTCCCAACCTTATTTCACAGTGTTAAATTCCAACTTAATCCTATTCTAACCGTTCTTCTGGTTTTCTTAACGCTTTTCTAATCCTACTTCGAATCCATCGATAAATGTCTCTACTAACCCTTATCCTCTCTTCTAACCCCTCTCCCAACCTCTCCTCTAACCCCTCTCCCAACCTCTCTTCTAACCCCTCTCCCAACCTCTCTTCTAACCCCTCTCCCAACCTCTCTTCTAACCCCTCTCCCAACCTCTCTTCTAACCCCTCTCCCAACCTCTCTTCTAACCCCTCTCCCAACCTCTCTTCTAACCCCTCTCCCAACCTCTCTTCTAACCCCTCTCCCAACCTCTCTTCTAACCCCTCTCCCAACCTCTCTTCTAACCCCTCTCCCAACCTCTCTTCTAACCCCTCTCCCAACCTCTCTTCTAACCCCTCTCCCAACCTCTCTTCTAACCCCTCTCCCAACCTCTCTTCTAACCCCTCTCCCAACCTCTCTTCTAACCCCTCTCCCAACCTCTCTTCTAACCCCTCTCCCAACCTCTCTTCTAACCCCTCTCCCAACCTCTCTTCTAACCCCTCTCCCAACCTCTCTTCTAACCCCTCTCCCAACCTCTCTTCTAACCCCTCTCCCAACCTCTCTTCTAACCCCTCTCCCAACCTCTCTTCTAACCCCTCTCCCAACCTCTCTTCTAACCCCTCTCCCAACCTCTCTTCTAACCCCTCTCCCAACCTCTCTTCTAACCCCTCTCCCAACCTCTCTTCTAACCCCTCTCCCAACCTCTCCTCTAACCCCTCTCCCAACCTCTCTTCTAACCCCTCTCCCAACCTCTCTTCTAACCCCTCTCCCAACCTCTCTTCTAACCCCTCTCCCAACCTCTCTTCTAACCCCTCTCCCAACCTCTCTTCTAACCCCTCTCCCAACCTCTCTTCCAACCCCTCTCCCAACCTCTCTTCTAACCCCTCTCCCAACCTCTCTTCCAACCCCTCTCCCAACCTCTCTTCTAACCCCTCTCCCAACCTCTCTTCTAACCCCTCTCCCAACCTCTCTTCTAACCCCTCTCCCAACCTCTCTTCTAACCCCTCTCCCAACCTCTCTTCTAACCCCTCTCCCAACCTCTCTTCTAACCCCTCTCCCAACCTCTCTTCTAACCCCTCTCCCAACCTCTCTTCTAACCCCTCTCCCAACCTCTCTTCTAACCCCTCTCCCCTCCAAGTCTTCCTCACTGGCACCAAGCTGCCTCTTGAGTCATAATGAAAGATTTCAGAGGAAAGGTAATTGCAAATGGAAGTTTATTTTTAGGGGTAGTGGTTAGGGGAAGGGGGTAAGGGGGATGGTAGGGGGTTGGGATGGGACAGAGGATAAGGGTAGGGGGAGGAGGGGGGGTGGAAGAGGATTGGAGAAATGAGAAAAGAAATAGGAAGAGCAAAAGGAAAGACGATTAGAGGAGGTATAATAAGGGAGAGTGTGAATAGTATTGACCTGTTCTGGCCAGAGTGCTGAAGGGATTACTTTGTGTACACACACACACACACACACACACACACACACACACACACACACACACACACACACACACACACACACACACACACACACACTAACAAGAACCACAAACACACGACAATAAAACATAAACAAGCCCGCACACACATCTCATCCAAGCAACACACAGCAACCTTCACCTCACCATAATAGAAATAACAACATTTATCCACTATATTATTTAAATAAACTCTGCTACATATCGTGGATAATCACAGTTTATTTAAGTCACTCTTGAGAGGCATTAATGAAACGTGAAGTATTGCTTTAAGCCTTGGTGTGAGAGGACGACTGTGTCACTGTAGTATGAGGGGTCGACTGTGTCACTGTAGTATGAGGGACGACTGTGTCACTGTAGTATGAGGGGTCGACTGTGTCACTGTAGTATGAGGGGTCGACTGTGTCACTGTAGTATGAGGGGTCGACTGTGTCACTGTAGTGTGAGGGAACGATTGTGTCACTGTAGTATGAGGGGTCGACTGTGTCACTGTAGTATGAGGGGTCGACTGTGTCACTGTAGTATGAGGGGTCGACTGTGTCACTGTAGTATGAGGGGTCGACTGTGTCACTGTAGTATGAGGGGTCGACTGTGTCACTGTAGTATGAGGGGAATGTTTTTAGTAAAATCAGAGTATTAATGATCAAGGAGGAACGTAGACCACCAAGCAGGGATAATTACCAAGTAGAAAATTGTGGGCAAAAAAAGTACCGTAAAAGTCTGAAAGCGTCGCTCTTCAGAGGGTAAAGTATTTTTTACTTTTATCTGTATATGTGTATATGTGTGTACCAATACTTCGGTAATGTATTGGCAACGTGGATGAAGTTGGGAGACGGCAACCCGCCTAGCACTACACAGTCATTGTCTTGTACACACTCTGAGTAGACATTGTTCCGTGTGGTTACTCCTTACTCTCTCTCTCTCTACTACACCCTGATCTCTCTCTCAACTACACCCCTGATCTCTCTCTACTACGCCCTGCTCTCTCTACTATACTCTGCTCCCATCACTATACACTACGCCTTCCACTACACTGTGCTCCATTGACTGCGCTCTGCGCTCCACTACAATCTGTTCCGTCCATTCTTCCATCAATCGGTGAGAGAAATAATTATATTCGTATTGATGTCATTTGGAATGATTTTGTGAAGACTCCAGACTGTTCCTCGTGTTTTTATGTCACCCAGCTTCCCAGTTTTCTGTCTCTGTCTTTGTGACCTTCTGTCTGTCTGTCTCTCTCTCTCTCTGTCTCTCTCTCTCTCTCTCTCTCTCTCTCTCTCTCTCTCTCTCTCTCTCTCTCTCTCTCTCTCTCTCTCTCTCTCTCTCTCTCTCTCTCTCTCTCTCTCTCCTCTCTCTCTCTCTCTCTCTCTCTCTCTCTCTCTCTCTCTCTCTCTCTCTCTCTCTCCTCTCTCTCTCTCTCTCTCTCTCTCTCTCTCTCTCTCTCTCTCTCTCTCTCTCTCGTTGTCTCATGTCCGTACCTCTACTGTTTTACCCACATCAGCAACAGTAAGCAATCACTCAGGTGGAGGGTGGGATATTATGTTGTATTGAACTACTCCCCTCGCTCACACACGCTGTCCCTGCACTGTCTCTGCCTCCAAGGCTCCAGCCACTACCACCTCCTCCATCACCACCGCTACTAACACCATCACCACCACCACAACCATCATTACCACCACCATCACCACCACTACCGTCACCAGCGACGCTCACACAGTGCGGATGACACCAATCGTCACAACATTCTTGACAATTGCTTCACCCTTGAGGCAACGGGTCACACGACGTGCAGTTGGGTTGCAAGGTGCCCCCACCCTCGCCCAGACACCCAAGGTGCCCCACACTCACCCAGACACCCAAGGTGCCCACCCTCACCCACACACCCAAGGTGCCCACCCTCACCCACACACCCCCATCACTCACGAGACACCGTCGTCTCTACCCTGCACTTTAGCTAACATATTTTGACAACTTTATAGCAGCTTGTCCCCTGGCGGAAGCTTCCTCTGTACCGTGAGACAGCCCAAGACAGCTGTCACACCTGTAATTATCTTCATCACTGTCGATCACTGGAAGGTAGGCATCAGTAGAACAATATTTCAGCGCTGAACTAAACATTACAGAGGAAATATTACCTCGTCTGTTAACCCCCACAATAACAATTATCGTCTGCAGTGTTCTTATTATAACGAACCACTCGGTTTCTCTCTCAATTTGTGTCCTATAAATATTGGACTCCCGAGGGGCCCACTGCTTTTATAACACGTCTTGACATTAAATAAAAATTAAAGAAAAGATACACACCTGACACGAATGCCTTCCTCAGTCAGCTGAAGGAAAGTTTTGTATACACATATACAGAAAATACTCGTGTTATATGAATATATATAATATTTTTTTTTATGTTATCGCAGGAGGCGGCAAACCATCTCTATTATACGGATAAACATTAATTATAGTGAAGGAACGGGGATATATGTAATTAACAGGAGAAAGCGCCAAACCAGTATATGACTATATAGCACATGGAAGGGATATGAGTTACAGCCCCGCTTCTGTGCCAGGTAAGTCTACTACGTGCTCACCATGGCCCGTGCTACTTGGAACTTGTGCTGGGTAGCTGAATCTATAACAACGGAAGGGATATGAGGACCAGCAGTTGGAATATGAGGAAGGTAGGAACGATATCTAATTCCTACACTATCGGGGCACGAATGTCTATCAGCACGAAGCAATTAGAGTGTTGGTTTACCGACCAGCGCAAGTGGTCGCGGGTTATCTTGAGATGATTTTGGGGCTTTAGTGTCCCCGCGGCCCGGTCCTCGACTAGGCCTCCAACCCCAGGAAGCAGCCCCCGTGACAGCTGACTAACACCCAGGTACCTATTTTACTGCTAGGTAACAGGGGCATAGAGTGAAAGAAACTCTGCCCATTGTTTCTCGCCGGCGCCCGGGATCGAACCCGGGACCACAGGATCACAAGTCCAGCGTGCTGTCCGCTCGGCCGACCGGCTCCCCTAGGTAGGTAGGGTAGAGGAATGTCGGGAGTATCTTAGTCCTCACTTTAATAAGACTTAATTGAAATCCTCAGATTAGGCAAAATTGTAATTAATTTTGTCAATAAAGATGCTAATAATAATAATGTGTCTTAGTGGGACATACACGCCGCTCAAGAAGAACAGTGGGGTGAAAAGGGAATACATGAGGTGGTGAGGGCACACATGGGCATACATGGGCATAGAGTGAATGAGGTGGTGGGGAAATACATGAGGAAGGAAGAGTGCATGCAGATGGTGAATGGGAGGGAGAGTGAACAGTTGTGGGAAAGACACAGAGATAGAAGGTGGTGCTGGAAAGGAGGATAAAGGAAGTGCAAAGGGAAAGGGGATAATGGAGATGGAGAATAGATGTAAGGGTGAAGGGGGTTAATAAGCGTAGTACTAACCCAAGGTGTCACTTATGTGAATATTTTAACGACGAAGAGATAATAAAATCACAAAGATTTATTGGAAAAAACATAATTTTTTTTATTATATTTATTATTATAAAGTTATCTATAATGTGCATGCCATATTTCCTTTATCAGATTAATCATATTTATCTGAGTTTATAGTTTATTTTTTGCATATAATATACTCGGTCATATTCCACAGATACTTGGTCATATTTCACAGATACTCGGTCATATTCCACAGATACTCGGTCATATTTCACAGATACTCGGTCATATTCCGTAGATACTCGGTCATATTCCACAGATACTCGGTCATATTCCACAGATACTCGGTCATATTCCACAGATACTCGGTCATATTCCACAGATACTCGGTCATATTTCACAGATACTCGGTCATATTCCACAGATACTCGGTCATATTCCACAGATACTCGGTCATATTCCACAGATACTCGGTCATATACCACAGATACTCGGTCCCATTGCGAAGATATTTGGTTCGTTTGCAGAGCTACAAGTAATTAGTTCTAATTTGATATTACATTCTAATTTATATTGTATTTATTGTTGTTTATTATCACTTCCTGATCATTCTTTTCTCTATCTTTATATCTGTTACTCTGTTGTCTATCTGTACCTCCTTTATTGTCACTGTCTCTTCGCCTGCCTCGCTCTCTCTCTCTCTCTTTCTCCTTCTCTATCCTGTCTCTTTCTCTCTCTACTCGTGTGCGTGATTCCGGTCCTCCCTACAGCCTCAACCTGCCCTCAGTAAAACATGTTGACACAATGCCCCATCACTCACCCTGCCCGTCTCCAGGTTTCGCTTCCGCCAAATATCAACCGAGATCTGGTGTGGCGACGACACTCACTATGTCCCGCAGGATAAACACAGCCTCAGTCCCGTGTGTGTGTGTGTGTGTGTGTGTGTGTGTGTGTGTGTGTGTGTGTGTGTGTGTGTGTGTGTGTGTGTGTGTGTGTGTGTTGCACATAAATTGATTCTTGTGCAATACGAATAGTTTGGGTGCTTTTGAAACCACGTGTGTGTGTGTGCATTGAAAAGGCTGAATGGGAAATTAGCAGCAGCAAAAAACAGCAGGTGAACGTCACCTCATCAAGGAGCCCCAGTAGGTGAACACCGCCTTATCGATGGGCCCCACTAGGTAAACAACTCCTGGTCAAGGGGCCCAGCCGGTGAACACACCTCGTCAGAGGGCCCCCTTGCATCGCCAACTCCCTTCAACAGTCCGGCAAAGCT